TAGTCTGACAGCTCTATACTGCTGTAATTTCATGCATAAAAAAATTATTTTTCAAGAGCAGCAAAAGGTTATGCAGCTAGTCGGTGCCATAGTGTCTCTGGATTGCCACTGCTCTTAATGCCTGAGTTAAGATGTATTAAGGAAAAACACACCCAGAGCAAAAGGCCTTTGTTTTTTTGTGACTTCTGGGACAGGAGAGAAAAGATCAGTTATTAATACTTTGTCAGAACCACAACAAAATGCAGATACAGTAAAGAAATATAATTCTTTTTTCTTGAAGGCAGTGCAAGTAAACTGTTGTTCCTGAATCACAGAATGTTCATGTTAGGGTTGAAAAGGACCTTAAGATCACCAAGTTCCAATCCTCCTGCCTATGGGGAGGGACACCTTCCACTGGGCCAGGTTGTCCTGAGATGCAGCAGCATTTATCTTTGCATCCTCGTGCAAGATACATGTATGAGTGCTCAGCAGCAGGCAGTAGGAATGAATATGGCCTAATTGCAACTAGTTGCAGCTAATTGGTGCCCTGCATTTTGTGTTTTCATGTTTGACCAAAATTGCTTTGAGCAAGATACCCTATGACCGTTGTTTTACCAGTGTTTGAAATCTAGATAGTGAAAGCCCTGCTGGATAGTTCTTTAGAGTGCAGACTATGAAAACACACTTGTATCACAACAAGTGAGATACTTACTCTGCAAAGATCCCTGTTCATGATGCTGATGTTGCTGTCAGCCACTCTCCTTGTCACCGGCTTTGTGTAGTGTATTCTGTGATTTTCAGAGGATTTTGGGAGGATGCTTTTGTTGTTAGAGGTGATTGGATAATGTTATAGGAAAGCTGAAAACAGTTCTGAAAATGTCCAGTTTAATTTCTAGCTCATTATGTATAGTGCAACTGCAATTATTTCCACTGAGATAATAATCATGTAGAATGGCATTAAGTGAATGTCATACTGATTTTCCTTAGTATGCTCTGCAATTATAATACTTCAAGCTGTATTCTCATTTGGCATTAATGAACTTAGACATAATGCAGTAGGATGAACTTTCATGAGAGGTCTCTAAGGAACAGATAATTGCTGCAGTTTCTAGCTCAACAGAGACTGCTGTCCTCTTTGGCGATATCATTGGACAAGTGGCTTTCAGGCCAAAATAGTCTAGACAGAAGATACCTAAGCAATTAACTTTTAAAGTGTTATATCCTACGAAATTAAAAGTATCTACTAACATTTTGCTACACTAATTTATTGTAAATGTTTCATTAAATGCTAAGGTAGGAACATAAGACATACTCTTACCTCTAAGTTAGCTAAACCAGTTATTAGACATTGGAATTTTATTTTCCAAAGTTACTGAATATTATGAGTCTAAATGCACACTGCAGCTACTTCAATTGACCAAACGGATATTCATTTTTAGGTTTAGATATTAAAGGAAGGTCCCAATTTAATAGTAAATTCCACAGAGTAGCCAAATTTTGAGTTCAAGTACATATCTCTTTCAACACACCCTCTTCCCACCCCCCATGAAACCGCTGATTTGTTTGATTGTTTGGGGGGGCTTGTTTTGTTTCCAGTTGGATCATACCATTTGGTTACTGTTTTACATTTTTATGTATTTTGGTGATGTGTTCTGTTTTCAAACAGACCAACTTTTCCAATAATAGGAAATAAATGCTTCCATTTGTACTGTTTTGTGCCAGTAAAATATTTTGGGACCCATTTAGATGCCAGAGCCTTATAAATTAACTCCTGTTCCTGTGAGCAGCGCGAATAATAGTAATCCATGCTGTGAAAAGTCTGCCTCTTTGCACTTAGAAGTTGGAACTCGAAACATTAGCCAGATGTCTCTAGAGGAGAAAAAGGTAATCCTGGAACACCTCTATCATGAGAAAAGCAAATGATTTTCATAACATATGTAATCAGGACAAATAACAGAAAGTAAGAACAGTACCATAATTTCTTATGTTGGTTATGGCTATTTTTTTAATAATACAATTTTTTCATCATGTTTTTCCACAGTATTGCCAGATGAGAGAGAATTTCAATATGCTGCTAAAATGAACAATCTGGAAACCATGGAAAAGCTGTTTAAAAAGAATATTAATATAAATGCTGTAGATACTGTGAGTATGAAGCATCTGACAGGTAACAGATCTGTAATATGACTTCTTGGCATTTCATAGTGGAATGACAGCAAGGTAGTGTCAACTGCAAGGTAGTGATGCTGCAGAGTCCCCACTAGGACCTCAGTAAGAAATATTTTATGCATCCAGAATGTTCAGTAGGACTTGTGCAGTGTAGCTCACAGGTCTTTAACCACTAGTCTGTGTGTCACAGGGACTAAGGAACTCAGTCCTTAGGAACTAAGGACTTCTGAACTGTGGTCTCTGATTTACTATTTACTTTGTGTTCTAATTTCTTGAATTCCCCATGTTTCAGAGTAAGAGGACTTAACCTCACAGTCACTTTGAGAATGAATTTATGCTGCTAGCATTACAAATTTCAAGTGTGAAGTGTTTCCATTCAGTTTGTATGGAACCACAGGAGTGTTCTACCACACCCACTGGCCCCAGGCTGAGTTCAGAGTTCAGATTTACCCTAGACAGATGAAAATGCGTTTCTTGTGCTGATATCAGCTCTAGGCCTGAATTATGAGGATCTGTACTTCACAGTAACAAAATGTAGTGCTGTGTTCCACAAGAGAAGTAATTCAACAGCAATGGAGCTGTCATGATATTAATCTGGGAGTTGTGGAGAACAGTTTGCCCTCAGTGGCTATGTATAAATCATCTACCCATGACTATCAAGTGTTACTTAACCATCAGTTCTGAAAAACCTTGCTTCCCATGCCCATGTGCATATTTTCCCATGGGGAATTGTGGAAATAGCACAGATGCATTGCTTGGTTTGTTTATGAGAAAGAGAGGAAGAAAAAACTTCTCAGTAAACTCTTGAACAATGAGAGTGTTCCCATCAATTACATAGTACTCTAAAAAGTCACTTTTAAAATGTTCTTTCTTCCTTATTGCTTTCCAGAACCCAGGAAATTAAACTGAATACTTTTCCAGCCCAGCAGTTTGAATCTTTACTCTGTCATTCTAAAATCAGACCAATAGTACATGAGATTTACTAGCATAGCTGCATGGGTGTTGAGCATTGATTGATTCTCCTAGGGGTGATGTAGCTTATACTGGCAAAACTTTTCTTTTGTTCACATTGATCATTCCTGCCCCTGCACTGCCAAGGCAAATAAACCAGGCTGCCAAAAGGTGAGTTTTGTTGATAGAACTATTTCTGTGCAAGAGGGTTTTTCTGGCATAAATGCATGTCATAAATCCCACCTTTGAATTATTTTAATGCATATAAACTGTAAATTTAAACTTATACATGGATAAGTCAGCTGGTCTGCATAGGTGCTTAAGATAACAAATCCAAACTTACTTTTAAAGTTAGCTGGTTAAATCACTTCTGTATCCTTGGCATGTAAACTCTCAATGAATTTTGTTAAACCCAATTCTGTTAACTTTAACTGGAAGCAAAACTCTCTCCACTAAAGTTTGATGCAATTTAACCAATCCTTTTTTAAATTCACACCATAAATTACTTTAAAGGAAAATTAATCAAGTGTTCCTTAGAAGCACTGAAGCTATTCACCTGTGTAAAATTACTCACTGTTGGCAACTGGAAGCTTTCATCTACATGCATAATGACTCAGTCTGGCAAGGTAACTGAGTAGGGGAAGAATCTCATCATGCATTGCAGAGAGATAATAAAAAGGAAGGAAGATACCAAAAGCAAATCTAATTGTATAAATCTAGTTGTCAGCTTTTCAAATTAAACCATATAATAAAATAGTAAACATGGATGCTTTTGTACTGCATGCATCTCCTCTAGGGAGGATATGATTACTTAATCACATTTTGACATATCAGGAAGGGACGATGCTATGTAGAGAAACTAAATCATTCTGGTTCTACAAGAAATCTTTAAGATCAATGCCTCAGTTCCACCCGAGGGAACAAAAATGCAGATAAAGACCAAGCATAGCTGTTGAAAGAGAAATATATAAATATATATGTATTAACAAGTACATTTATTAATCAGAGAATTCAGAAATCCTGATCACCTGCACAAGGAAAAGACCTGTATTATGGACCTGACAACCAAAGCTTTGCTTATTTCAGCTGAAGCGCACTGCATTCCATTTTGCTGTTGCGAGAAGTCATGTATCAGTAGTGGATTTTCTTCTCCATCACAAAGCTAGACTTGATATGGCAGATCAGGTAAGCTGTTTTACATGTTTTGAGTCACACTGTGTAGGAACATCTTAGGGGGAAGGTTGGTATTTGCCTCATGCTCCCTGTTTTACAAAATTAAGTGCTTGTGTAAAATCTTCAGTTTGTCTTAAGACTGCACATGTTTATAAGGAAAAATATTAGAGATGAAATGCATTGCCCAGAGCTTTGGCTGCGCTGCATACTTGAGTGAGCACAAGGGTGGTTGAAGTGACTTGTGCAAATATACCATCTGTGGTAGCTGTGTGTTAATCACTGGCCACTTTATATGAAAGCAGTCACTGAAAGTAAAAGATAGCTCTGGAGATTGCTAGGAGTTCAGAAAGTAACACCTTGTGCTCTTCCCTTCCATTTTTATGTGAGTAGCTTAATGCAAAACTGTCAACCACTCTGCAGATTCCAAGACATTAAGAGTTTAGCAGTGTATGGCTGATTTGGTTGGGCCAGATGGTGATCCACAGTGCAGGATTTATTCAGATATTAAAACCAAATGTATGGTATGTTATTAATAAACAGGCTATTCAAACTAGGAGTTTTCCAGTGAACTGAATAATGCAAATAGACAAATCATTTACGTTTCCCCCCTGTCCCCTGTCATGGCAAGCATCCTGCTCTCCAAAGTGTTATACCAACAAGCATAAAAACTGTTCCTGTTCTCCATTAGAGGTGGAAGTCAGCCTATTTATATAACTGGGTGAGGTTATAGCTGCTAAGGGAACGCCTTTCTCCCTCTTGCTATGTTTATATTCCTCTGATTTCATCTCTTAGACCAGGTGTTTTTATGGTGGCATAGAAATGTCTTGTATTTACACAGCACATAGCACAATGAGCCATGATGTATGCTGCTGCACCTGAACACAGTACACACAAACTGAGGAAGGTGATTCTATGATTCTATGATTCTATGATAAGAGATGCGGAAAAGCTAGAGTCATCTGTGGCAAAGATGGAGAACACTGGCTGGAAGTTCTATATCTCTATTCCTGTTGGCTCTAAAGAAGTTAACAACAGAGCTATTCTTTTTTCCTGTAGAAAAAGAACTTTTCAAGAGACTTTGAAAGACAAGGGAACTTAAAAAACCGGGCTAACTAGCAAATTATGGTGACTCACAGAAGTACAGTCATTACAAATGATACCTGAAATGTCACCCACCGCAGCCAGTGCTAGTGGTTTCTGGTAAAAGGAAATAATTTCCAGGGACTATTTAATTCCTCCATCACAAAATAAGATCAGTCCTTTCCTGGAAGACCTTTTGTTAAGAAGAGGGGCAGCCTGAACATTTAGCTAGGTCTTGACGCACGACATTTAGCTTAACGTAACTGAAATGAATCCCACTCACACTGCCAGGTGTTAATACTGGTTTTCTAAGAGCCGACAGAGCAGAACCCACTTGTACATTGAATTAAGAAAAAAAGATTTAAAGAAATTTGGCATGAGGTATTCTGGTGGTAATTTCTGCCTGTATCATTTTATTTGAAGCACGGCCTGACAGTGATTCATCTTGCTGCTTGGACTGGAAATCTGGATATAATGCGAAAATTAGTTAAAGCGGGAGCTGATCAAAAGGCTAAGAATGAGGTTTGTTGGTTACAAATTTTTACCAGCTCTAAACGTGTTTATGCTGGAAAAAAGAAATCAGACTTGTTCTTAAAGAGTTGCTTATGGCTTTTCAGGAAGGAATGAATGTATTGCACTTTGCAGCTCAGAACAACAGCGTTAAAATAGTTGATTATGTTCTCCAAGATCTCCACCTGAATGACTTGAACAAGCCTGATAGGGTACAGTATGTTTCTTTTTGTTTATTTCTAGATGTCATGAGGCATCTGTTGTGGGCAAAACAATCTTGACTTGAGAATTTCAATGAATTTATTTTACTGCCAGCTATATAAGCATTTAATTATTGATTTGGGTATTAAGAAACAAGTAAAACAAACGGCCAGACAAGCACTTAGTGAAAACACTTTTCCTCCCTTTCTGGCTGTCTCAGCTGAACTCCAGACACCTCTCCTGCCATGCTTCCCTTGCTTTCACTGAATGTGATGCTCAGTCCCATCCGTGAGGTGGTGGAAAGCAGAGGAGATTGATTTTTTTTTCAATCCATTCCTATATTTTCACTCTTCGTTTCTTACTCTTTTTGTCTGTTCTAGCAAGGGTTCTTTTGTGGGCTACAGTCACCCTGTGGGTGTACCTTCTCCTGAGTCTCCTCTCACATCCTCTCGTATTTCCTCCTGTACCTTCCTTTGTGCATCCTCCCCCTAGCAGTGACCAGCCTTTCTTAAATGCATTTTCACCGAGCCATCAGGCACTCCTCTGATGGCTTGAGTGCTGACACGTGGTTAATACTGTGTCAGTTTTGTGCCTTGTGGAGCCATCTGGAAATGGCTGTGACCAGAATAAGGCAGCCTCTGACCTCCTCCCACACAGTTCACCCTGCAGCCCCCCGTCCTTACCAAAACCTGCCAGTCAAGGCCAACATGGGAATATTGCACCAACACAGAACATAAAACTATGTGTAGCCATTCAGCAGAAGTGCACTAGCTGTGTAACAGTGCCAGGGCATTGTCTTCATCAGGTTTGCTGCGTTTTAAGTTTTCCTTCCCAGAGCTTAGGGATCTTGCTTTGAAGGCTTACTTGGCTAAGTAGGGTATTTTATCTTTACGTGAGGAAATTTATTCTTGTAGGATCTCTCAACAACAGAACAAAGGTTCCCTATTTTTTTTTTTAAGACTTGTTGACCCAATGATGCAAAATTCTGAATTTTTTCCACATAAGACAAGGCGCAGAGTTAATTTAACAAAAGAAACCTTTGTGGCCTAGGACTTGGGAAAAGAAAGGTGACGAAGAATCTTCTTTATGTTGAGGTTATTTCATAATTATCTATTAGTTGCTTGCATTTTCTTTTTTCTGAGACATTTAATATAGGCGACTATAAGGTAGTGAAGCCATCTAGTTATTTGATTAGATGGCCCCACTTTCTGACCAGTGGTATGGTTTTATATCAGGATAACTTTCTGCAGTTGAGCTGTAAACAGCTGGAAAATTTTTTGTTAGTTTAACCACCACCAAAAAACCCACAATGCAGAGCACTGAATTCAGACCTCCTGGATAAAACATCCAAGATACGATTGTTCTGGTCTGTTCTTGCAGAATTCAGATCATGTTATGCCATGGAAATGAATCTTGCAACTTCTTCACTGGCTGTTTCTGAGCATCCTCAGACTCTTAATGACACAGTTCTTCTGATAAATATTTTCATACTGAGAATAATTAAATATTTTTAGCACATTTTCTACCTTGTCACCATTTCTGAACAGTTTTCAGATGTTTTCTTCAGCGCATGCAAGATGTGTAGTCTGGTTTTTCACACTAAATATTGCAATTTTTAAAAATTCTTACTCTTGTGTACATCTACTTTTTTAATCTACTTAATCATATATAATTTTTAATACACATATGCAGGCCATATATCTAGTATCTGAAAGCAAGTATTTTTATTTTCAATAACACTGTTTCTTTGTTTTCTAGAATGGTAAAAAGCCATTCCTTCTGGCATCTGAAAAAGGCCATGTTGACATGATAAACAATTTGATTACTCTGAAGCTGTTTACGTCTGAAAAAGATAAGGTAAAGGCTTCTTTTTCACAGAAGTACAACTAAATACATGCTTAAGAAAGATTACTTCATTTCAGTGTAGTTACTATGCAATCAAGTATTGTGGATAAGCTATACAGATGTGCTGGTAATGATATTCATTGGACAAACAAACACATGGGTGATGATTCTTCAGTAATTAAGGGAAGGCAGTGGGACTTCTTGTCTTACTGCCAGAAGACTTTTCCATATGCATAAGTAGTGCATGTAAAGTATGACATACATGACTACTATGACAGCATATGCTGTCTGTTGGGACAAGTGGGAAAGGCTGGTAATTAAGGTGTTTTAGCCTCTGTACTGGGAGATCATATTTCTGTTTTTCACTCTGCTTGACTGTTTCTTTCTGTCACTGCTAAATCCCACGTGACTAATTTTTCAAAGGTGTTTAAATATGTCAGGATGCAAACAAACACCTATGAGGATTTTTCAGAAGTGTCTTAATACTTTTATCTGAGTTTGCTTCTGACACTGCATTTTAAGGTATCTAAATGTCTTTCAAAGTTTCCTTACTCAATATATGTGGAATGAGCAAGTTGGTATTTCTCCTCATCTGAGGCATTGCAAGGATAAAAGACATTAAAACTATGAAATGGACAGATACTGTATTAATAGAACCATATAAGTAAGCACCCAGGAAGTGATGGTGTTTTTCTTGGTATTCTGGTAATAGTTTAAAAGCTGCAGTGTAACCCAGAGCTCTACATGCTAAGGAGTTTATCAGCAGATGTTAGAAGACAGTGTTGTCCCAGACATCTAGCAGGCTGAAGGTATAAACAGCAATGATGGAAAGCAAATGTGATCCTATAGCGTAAGTAGATGAGAAGCCAGGGCAGAAAATCATCTCCTAAAAGCAATCACAGTGTATCCATAATCACTGAAAGGACTTCCTCTGTCCTCCACCCCCATCTCCCCCAAGCTGTGAACAGAAAGCTGTTCTGGACTCTAATTTCTCTGATGCTTAGGAGTCTTTGAAATTGCAGCTTCAGCGTTCTTTTAGCCAGTTTGATACTCCTTCTTGTTCCAGCATGGTCTTTTAGCTCAAATCCTAATGCTCTTCCTGAACTTGCTCTGTGGTTTTATTTGTTTGCTGGTGTGTGAGGGTTTTTTCTTAATTAGCTAGTGAGAAATTGTATTGATGGTGAAGGAGATTGAAGATTGCCATGTTGGCATCAAAGGCACTACAAGTTTCTATACACTTACCTAGGTTTTGGCCATTAATCTTTAAATCAGTGATCTTGAGGGCTTGGTGTTATTCTCAACATTGTAGAAACAGTACCCAAAGTTTTCTTCTGATTATTCTTTAGGAGGTAGAATTTCAGGTCTTTTCCCTGGGCATACACTACAGTTTTCACAATATAGGACAACTAGCTAACCAGCAGGATCATGTCTGCATACAGATGTCGTTTCAGTCTTAATCTTGGAACATGCTTCTCCTTGTATGTAAAAGAGAGATGTACATAAAAACCAAAAGGCTTTGTATTGCTTTTACTTGATGTTTTAACTTCATTCTTATGACTTCATTTTTGTTTCATAACATACTATTTGACATTTCAATTTCAAGGAGGGAAACACAGCATTGCATCTAGCAGCCAAAAATGGTCACAGTGAAGTTGTAAAAATTCTGCTGGAACAGTGGGGGGAAATAAATGACCTCAATGAGGTAAGGGCACAGAATTTACTGAAATACACAGAGATTTGAAAGATCAACTAAAAGCAAATAAATAAATAAATAAGTATTGCACTGAGAAGATTTCAATACCTCAGCTGCTTTTCTAGTACCATTGCATCCTGTTTTGTTGTACCTTCTCCGATAAATTCAGCTCCTTTAACTCCTTCACTGTCTCTTGCCCTGTACCTTACTCCTCACGTAATGGCTTCCCATCCATCCCGCATGCCCTTGAACAACTACTGGCAGAAAGAAACAGACGAGGGCCTAACTTCCACCTTGCTTCCTGTCCTCCAGCATTTCTGGCTATGTAATCCCAATTCCTTTACCATCTCTGGTGTTTCTCAGGCTATTCACTGAGGCAGTTCATTGTGCACACCCAGCACATACCATCACAGACACCTCAGCAAAGAGATCTCAGGTTTGTACCTTGATTATCTGATCTCAGTTGACTGCACAGAACTGGCAGCAGACACTGCCTACCCACTTTTTCTTTCCTAGATCAGCGCCAGTGAGCTCAGCTCAGCCAGCACATTCATAAATTGCACAGTAGCTGTGAAAATTGTATCCTTGATCTGGTGCACTGATGAGCTTAATTTTTGAGGCCTAAAGTAGGGGTAAAGGAGGGGAATGCATACTAACTACTCAACTTGGCTTTCCTGCTTTGCAGAGAGTCCTTATGTCTTCTGTTTCTCCTATGGGGCAGCTGGAATAAACTAGGCAAGTTAATTTGTTTTGCTGCAGCTGGCATGCCCACTATTTGAAGTTGCCACATAGCTGAAGTCTGTTCTGCTGGCTCAGCTCGCAAAATGAATGCCCACTCATACCCACGGCCCTCCTCTTCCTTAATCAGCAACAGATTCATGGGTCGATGGGTTCTCTTATCCAAACTGTATGTATTTCCAGCTATGCAAGCTCTGAGGGACGGGAATCCCTTTGAAATGTGAAGCCCTGCTGTTTCCAAGCCGTGTCTAACAATGTTGCTTCTGCACTCAGACTTGTACTTCTTGTGTCCCTGTCTTGCCCTGGCTAGTGGTGTGACCTTCCTGTCCAGCTGATGGTCTGCTCCATGAATAAACAGGTCTCTTTTTTCAGCATGAGCAAACCACTACATTAAGTTTACCAGAATAATGGTGGCAGGAGTTCAAGCAAAGAAGAACCAGGATTTATTGATGCTTCTGTGAATGCTAAAACACTAAAGTAACTTTCAGTAAAGTTTTGTGTATTTTAGGAGTTGAGAAGCAGTGATTAGATCATTGTTCAGCTGATATAACTTACCTTAGAGATTCACTATGGAGACTTGGAGACTCTTTGGGAGTGAGAAGATTTCAAATAAGTATGTAACAGGATTATTTCTGCTAAAAGTGCACCAGAGTTGGGAATTCATCACAAATCCATGGCATTAGAGTGACAAAAATTGGTTCTGATGATATGTGCTAGTGTGATAATAGTGTTGCTTGGAGTTGAAAAGCAGAAATTGCTACCTGTTGTCTTTGCTTCTGTGCTTGTTGCTTGCAATCTTCTTTCATTAAGAGTGTGATTAATATTTATGAAATAGCTATCTGTATCATAAACCTCACCAGACATCTGTCTGCATAAATACCATCTGCCACTTAAGTATTGGTGAGTGCCTATTTCATTTAAGTGTTAATTTCGGAGCATTCAGATTGTGTTCTTGTGTGAACATCTCTCCTTTTCTGTTGAGCTGGATACGTCTTACTGAACTAACCTGTTTTGTGTCACAGCATTGCACTCACATGTCTTAAATTGGAACAGACATTTTCTCTCTATTGGTCTAGAATGGAGAAACTCCATTTTACTTGTCTGTTGAAGGAGGTCATGAAAAATGTGCTGAGTTCTTGCTGGAAGCAGGAAGTGACATCAATGTTCTAACTCAAGTATGTACACAATATCGCACCAGCACACAGGTAGTGGGACATCCTGGCCTGTGGGAAGGACCTTCTCTTCTCTTTTCTGTGTGTGCTAACAGTATATTTGCTCTGCTAATTTTTATGAAATGGTAAAAAAAGATATTAATTAATAAAGTAGAATTGGGGATGTAAAGAGTGCTAACAGAATAAAACTGATGTGGAAGAAATATAGCATAGATTTATTTCATGGAGTACGGTGGTGGAGACATTAATTTACTGTACATCCAACAGTAAAACATACGACTAGGAAATGTAACCAGCTAGGGTTGAAAATCCTCCTTTTTGGCAGCATATATGACTGAACTGATGGCAAACCTGTTCTCCACATCTGGTTCCTAGACTTTAGTCCAGCTCACATCTGTTAAATGGTGCTAGCCTGCCTGCTGTGAGAAGTTTATGATTCCAGCAGACTGAGGGCTTGTTTGTTTTAGCAGAATTAACTGAAAATTTTCTACTGGTTTATTTTTAAAAGTTTGTTAATGTGACTGTACTTGCTTGTTAAAGGTCAAACTGAAGTAATAGATGAGGAGACGTGGGCATTGTCATTGTCCATGGCATAGATAAATCAGCTGGCAATGCTGATTCATCAGTTTCTTAAAAGACATTGAGGAGGACTATAGAATACTGTTGGTTTTAGCATGTTTGTTGTGTTAGAGTAAAAATGGGAAGTTCCTTCAGTGTTTACAAAACCACCATCATGCTAACGGCTGATCCACTTCGGTTTATATAATTTTGTCAAAGGGAGTTTTTTTTGGGAGTGGGATAATAACACAAATTTAAGTGAAAGATCATCCTATATTGACAGCTCTCTTTAATACTCTTCTTCCAGCAACAAAAATGTAAGTTTTTGCTATATGTATCATTTGTTTCAGAACAATAGCAGTGCTTTGCAGGTTGCAATTCAGAATGGACATCTATCCTTGGTTACTTTTCTTATTGATAAGAACATTGACCTGGTTCCTAAACCTGAGGTGAGCATATATCAGTCTAACCATTCTGTTGTTCAGCCTGTCCTGTCTTTTATGACCTTCTTTTGGAATTTAGACAGCTGAAGGAGGTTGACTAGTTCCTTGATTTTTTACTAGACATGTTATTATGTGGTTTATGGATGTTGGTTAGCAATATGTATGGACCAAAAAAGACAAGGTTCTGTTGCACAAACCCAGTGAGCACTTGGGCAGATTGGTGTAGTGCAGTGTAGAGATGGTCAGGCTAAGCCAAGGACCAGGCATTAAGATGAGTGAAGAACCCTGCTTGAACTATGCAGCAGTGATGTAGGCCTCCCTGTGTGCTGTGAGCAGAGTTAACACTTTCAACTGATTATGAGTGAAGGTAAATACAAGGTAAATAAACACTTGAGTGCTTTTGCCCTCTGCACTCAAAGCATATACCTTCAAAATCTGCCACTGTTCTTAGGGGTTTAAAAAGAAAGAGGTATTTCTAGTATAAAAATCTTGTCTCAATTAAGATGTGACAGTTTTTGTTACATCTGAGATTTTCTGTGTATAGGAAATTAGTTTTTGCTTCTACAATACAGGATGAAAATAGCAACTGGGCTTTGTGACTTATGCCATGATCACTGGCCTGTTGTGTAATGTCATCAAGGAAGAACTCATGATGTGCCTGCAATTATTTATTTGAATATGAGGTAGTTGTTGTGCTGCCTGTTCTCTTTGGCTTTCTGTAGCAGAAGCAACTCATAAAATTGTAACTTTCATTTTGGAAACATTTCCAGTGCAGCATTACATAAAAGCTTGCTTTACTTTTCCGTAGCCCTGAAGAAATGGCTGTGGTTTATAAAGACACTAATGAACAGGTGTCTGGCACCCATCAATGGCACTAGTATGGGATTATTCTTTAGCTGTGTTTAACAAGAAACTGACAACTCACAGGTTCAACATACAAAGTGATCTTGCCCATCTAATGGCTGGATTGTGACTGGTGGTGTGTCTGTGCCTCAGTTATTTTAATAGTAATCTCTCAAAGAAAATAAAACCAAATTAATTTCTTTCTAGCTGTAATTTACTTTGTATAAATATGACAGGAAGTCAGTTTCATATGAAGAATAGTTCCAGCAGCGGTATCTAACAAGAGTTTATTCCCGGAAAGTAGATTTTGACATCTGTTTACCCAGCAGAGAATAAATCTGCGTCCAGCCTATTCAACTAAGAGCAAACCCAGTTTTCTGGGGGAACAGAAACATTGTCCTAAACTCTCTATTGTCAGCCAAGGGTAGCAGCATATCCAAGGTATAAATACATCAGAGGAGTACCTTGCTGTGTTCCTAAGTGGTGACACACTGATACTCAGTCCGTGGACTCAACATTTCCAAGTTCCTCGGTTAGCATTTGTTTACCTGCTGCTGAGCCATTGCAGGAGCAGGCTACCATGTCTGGCGTAGCTCTGCACCTCCAGATGTGTTTTCTGCAGTCTGGAAAGTCTGCTAGAGCATCTCGCCTTTCCAAGGGGTGGATTTTAAAAAAAACCTCTTTCTTGTTTAAATGGACGTCTAATAATATACCAAGGATAATAGTCTATTATTTTCCCTCCACAGCAGAAGAATTCCCCTCTCCATTTAGCAGTCATCAATAACCACCTACCAGTAGTAAAAAGCCTCTTGGATGCCAATCATGATATAAACTCCTTAAATCACGTAAGAAAAGCTGAGAATTAATATAACATCACTTCTAACAAGGAGATTATGTGGATTTTGCCTGAAATACATTGTATTTTTTTTTTCTTCCTGAGCTCAGGGTACAAAAAAATAGGAAGGAAGAGGCAGTTCCCTCCTTATCTTTTTGCATGTGTGCATATGTATTAGTCACTGGTACATGCTGTGCTAGTATTGTTTCTGCAAGATAAGGATAGCAAAATGCTATGTACCCAGAAAATATCTGATTGTTCAAGTATTACAGTTCATGTGTAATAACTGACAAAATTGTCTCAACAGCACTGACCTCAGACAGAAACCCAGTACAGAGGGTCACTTAGCTGGTAGGGAGTTAATTTTTTAATAGCAACCCATAGTGTGCTGTGTTTCAGATTTGTGACCAAAACACTGCTGGTAAGTCAGAGTTTCAGCTGTTACTGAACTGTGCTTACACAGCACCAAGGCCTTCTCTGTTTTGCACTCTGCTTCTCCCGGGGCATAGGCTGGGATTGAGCAAGAGCCTGGGAGGAGACACAACTAAGCAAAGGTCCAGAGCTGCTTCTCACAACACATCACACTGAAGGATGAGGTCACAGCTGTCTGGTGGAATCAGTTGGTGTGTCTGGGTGTTAACTGAAAGTTTTGTGGTTGGAAGTCACCCAGGGACATTGGCATCTGCTTTCTCCACCTTTACCAGGATCTTTTTCTTTCCGCTTGGTACCAGCAGTCTTTGGAGGCCTAGCTGGCTGCTCCCCAGTTCACTTTGAATGCAAGGTAGCTCCTCAAAGAAGGTATTGTAAACCAGCAAGACAAGTAGACTATCATAGAAGGTATCCAGTATTTAAGGGAGTTAATGGTGGTGGAGGTGGTCTACAGCAACCTAGCCAACAACCAGGCCTCCAAAGATCTGAATGACATCCAGGTCTCATGGCCAGTAGCAGAAGTTTGTACACTGGCCATGTGGATGTAGTACATTGGTGCCCTGGCCGCAATGGATTGGGCAGACACTGAGACACCAGCTGTGTATAGACCAGCCTGCCAGCTGTGTCCCTTCAAAGCGAATCTCCTCCCCTCTCCATCAGCCCTACCTCTCAGCTGTGGGAAGACCCACCAGGTCTCTCAAGTCCCACACTGGGGACTGTGGCTCCCTGTTGGTGAAACACACTCTGAACTCTCACATGTCGGATGGGGATGCTCCCCAGTAGTCTTTGAGAAATCTGTAGTTTGCCTCTTCTTGTTGATCATTTTATTGCTAAAGATTAATTTGTACACATTTTAGTAGCAGAGGCTGTAGTTAGTGGCTTGAGTCAAGTATGACAATGAGTCTTTCTATCACATAAAATACAGAATTCTGTTCTTGAGCACATGATTTAGAAATGTTCCATGCTTTGTCCCTAGCATGTCTGAGTTACATACATTAGCTGCACGTATATCTCTGAACTACTGCAGCAAAGAAAGTAGGGTGTATTGCAGTGGGAAATTCATGAGGTCACGTGTCATAGTGTGTATTCCTAGAACAGCTGATGAGACACTCCAAGGCGGAACCCTGAGGCTGGTGTTTCTTCATAAGGTGTTGCTGTTTGACTCTGCAAACTTTAAGTCAAGATTTAAAGAACAAAAGTTTTCTAATCAGACCTGCAGAATGTGGACTTGCAACATCAGAGAGGTGCAGGTACAAAACCTTCCACCTAAAAGGATGCTGTGTCACATGAAGCATGCTACAGGATATGTCCAGAAGATATGCAGGGCTTCCACAAATGACAACATATCTTATTTGCTGCTGCATTACACCCACAGATGGCTGGAATTTCTAATATTCTGCAGAAGGATAAATAAATAGGTTTCATTTGGGTGCACGCAGTCTTGTAGTGGCTACACAACCCTCATTTCAGACCTAAAGATTAGACTTGAAGCTGAATGCCCCTTTAGCTGTAGTTCTTGTTAATAATTTGGTTTTGTTTAATCCTTTTTTTTTTTTTTTTAAATTTTTCCCCCTTTGTGTGTGCTTGCATGGTTTAAGGTTCACCGAACCCATTACAGAGCTGGTAGACTTCCAACACATATCACCATTTTGTGGCAGCGCTGGCTAACAAACCCTGCTGTAGTGTTGAAAATTACGGATGTCCAGTTGTCTTTGTATGAATTTCAGCTGGGAAGAGGTTACTTGAGAGACAGTATGGGTGGGGGTTGGCAGCTGCATGAAGCACTCTGTCCAAACCACCTTGTTTTAAGAGGGAAGAAAGAAAGCTTGTTAAATTACAGTACATTACAGGAGCATGACAGTGACCTTTTCCTGAGCCAGCTGGAATTCCTGCCGGGTTTTTCTGCAGAGATCCCAGATGCTGTCTTGTTTGTCTGGAACAAAACTGGCAGGTAGATCACTCAGAAGCTAAATGATTTCATCCTGTTCAGTGTTTTCTTTCCAAGGCCATCTCATGTGAATCTTCTTCAGATTCAGATTATGAGCACTCTATTTCTAAGAGAGAATTTGGCTTACTGTATTTATTTGGTGTCATTAATTACAGAGGCAGGAAACCCCACTACATCTGGCAGCTGATCTTGGCAACATGGAGCTGGTGGAAGTGCTGCTGAAGGCTGGCTGTGATCTCAGGGCTGTGGATAAGGTAGATTGCATTCCCCATATGTGCAAGGACATTGTGATTTTATGTTTTGTTTTACAACTTTCTTCCCAGAGATGCAGAAAGCACTTACTGGCAGTTCTCTTTCCTAAGTAAAGCTGTTAGTTGTTACAAAGGAAGTCTCCTTTTTATATTGCATTACACAGCTTGCAGAGATCTGAAATGGTTTTAGTGAAGAGGTTCCAAGCTCCATAGTTTGAAGGGTGAAAACCCTGCTGCCAGAGACCTCTGCTGGAAAAAAGGATTAGCCTTATGGAGTGGAAAACAGCCTGTGGCTGTTGTAACTGTGTCCCTGCAGCATTCATTGCCAGGAGAGGCACAGGTACTGCCAGCTTCACTAACTGCAGCGATGGCGAGTTTCCCTTTACCCCTCTGGGCCACCTGGAAGTGATGGTGCTGTGTCCTTGAGAAGACATCCCAGGTCTGCTCAAGTGGGTGCTTAGACCTGTTGCTGATGTTCAGCCTGGAAAGACAGGGGCAGGAATGGCTGGAAGAAGTGCCAAAACTAAGAGCCTCTGCCAAAGTGCTTTCGAAAGGACAAAGTACCAAATACAGCTTTTACAAATTCTGCTAAATTATTGCAAGACTGAGCTTCCCCTTCTTATACTGTTACCATTATACTGACTTTCTGTATAACTGGATTGACAGATTTGGTGTTTATCATGCTGCATTGTTAAGAGTTATGCCTTATCAGTTAAGCCTTGCCGTTAAGAGTCATACCTACACTAGCTGGAGAGCTGCAGTTCTCATGTGGGCTAACCCAGAATGAAATCTTGTCTACTTTAGTTAGTGCCTTTGCCATGGGAAAATTGCGTCCACCTAGTCGTATTCCAAGGGCAGGCACAGAAAATTACTTCTTACTGCCTGTTTTGATCTTAAGCACCTCAAGCCTTTGGGCTGGGTAGTGCTTCAGTATTACAGCAAGTTGACATTGTTCAGCACATGTCATGAGAAGGTGGTTCTCAGCCAGCACAAGTTCTGTCACCTTTCTGCTCTGGTTTTATTTCTAGGAGTAGCTTGTCCCTTGCCCATTTGCTGGTTCAACCCTGAGGCCATGCCACTTCTGGGAACATTTGAAAGTTCAGCTCTCCTTGAATCAAATCGCTGCCGAGGTGCCAAAAATGTTTCCATCCCCACTGAACAGTAGGCAGGAAAAGTGGAGCCAGCTTCAAATTGCACAGTTTTCCTGGCCTGTGTGCCCTGGCAGCAAGAGTCCTCAGATCTCCAGAACATGTCATGCATCTGTGTGAGTCATGAACTCCCTTGGGAGCTCTTCCTTCCTCCCTCCCATCTGCAGAGATAATGGTTGTTGGTTGTCATTGGTAGTGCAGAGACTTGTGCACACAATCTGGTGTGCAAGACTGCTGCGCCATGTGTGCAGTAGCATGCCAGCAGTGTCTGCATTAATACAGGAGGCCAGAAACAACCCCTCTTCCCATCCCCTTCACCTCTCTGTGAAGTACAGAGCACTTTCCAGGGCTGGGTCCCAAGGAGCTCTTGTGGTCTCTGGACTCTTCACATACAAAGTATGTCTGTGCTATAAAAATTTTATGAAAGGTAAATTCTTTGGATTCCAATGTGATGCTTTTCTAAAACCAGGCTAATTAGAATGATCTTGAGCAAAGCCTGGAGGCAGAACTCAAAAGGGAACTCTGTAATAGCTGGAAAGTTGAAATGCCTCCTAATTGAATTACTGAACCTTTTAATTAAGGTCTTGGCTTCTTTTAGGCCTAATTTTCTAGAATGCCTATCACTTGATATGAAGAGAATAACCTGAATGCTTAAATCTGAGGCAGTTCCACCAGTGAAAATTCGCTGAAAATAGATAATTGCAGAGGGAAGTGGGCAGCTGCAGTCCTCTGCACCTAGAATTAAAGCAATGGCTTGTAATTCCTTTGACTGCCTGTACTACTTGAAAAACACCTGTTTGCTGAAACAGTCGGTGTCCTCACTTCAGTTGTCACAAGAACAGAATTCCCACACTCTCATTCCTTCTATGATGGGGCTACAGAACTGATGGACAGGGATAGAGCAGCTGACGTCATCTACCTGGACTTGTGCAAAGGGTTCTACACTGTTCCACACGACATCCTTGTCTCTAAATTGGAGAGACATCAATTTGATGGATGGACCACTCGGTGGATAAAGAACTGGCCAGATGGCAGCACACAAAGGGTTGTGGTCAATGGCTCAATGTCCAGCTGGAGACCAGTAACGAGTGGTGTCCCTCAGGGATCGGTGTTGGGACCGGTCTTGTTCAACATCTTTGTCGCTGACATGGACAGTGGGATTGAGTGCGCCCTCAGCAAGTTTGCCGATGACACCAAGCTGTGTGGTTCGGTTGATACGCTGGAGGGAAGGAATGCCATCCAGAGGGACCTTGACACGCTTGTGAGGTGGGCTGATGCCAACCTCATGAAGTTTAACCATGCCAAGTGCAAGGTCCTACACCTGGGTCAGAGCAATCCCAGGCACAGCTACAGGTTGGGCAGAGAAGAGATTCAGAGCAGCCCTGCGGAGAAGGACTTGGGGGTGTTGGTTGATGAGAAAATGAACATGAGCCGGCTTCAGTGTGCACTCGCAGCCCAGAAAGCCAACCGTATCCTGGGCTGCATCAAAAGGAGCGTGACCAGCAGGTCGAAGGAGGTGATCCTGCCCCTTTACTCTGCTCTTGTGAGACCTCACTTGGAGTATTGTCTGCAGTTCTGGTGTCCTCAACATAGAAATGTCATGGAACTGTTGGAACAAGGCCAGAGAAGGGCCACAAGGATGATCAGGGGACTGGAGCACCTCCTGTATGAAGACAGGCTGAGGAAGTTGGGGCTGTTCATCCTGGAGAAGGCTGCGTGGAGACCTCATAGCAGCCTTCCAGTATCTGAAGGGGGCCTATAGGGATGCTGGGGAGGGACTCTTCAGTAGGGACTGTAGTGATAGGACAAGCGGTAACGGGTTAAAACTCAGAGGAAGTTTAGATTGGATATAAGGAAGTTCTTTACTGTAAGGGTGGTGAGGCACTGGAATGGGTTGCCCAGGGAAGTTGTGAGTGCTCCATTCCTGGCAGTGTTCAAGGCTGGGTTGGACCAACCCTTGGGCGACATGGTCTAGAGTGAAGTGTTCTTCCTCTTGGCAGGGGGGTTGGAACTTGATGATCTTAAGGTCCTTTCCAACCCTAAGTATTCTGTGATTCTGTGATTCTGTGAGCCAGTTTCTCTTACCGTCTGAAATAGGACAGGTTTGCCATAAAAGTTGGAGGTTTCCAGCCCTGCTAGCCTACCCTTATCTGAAATGCCAGTCTAATCATAACATGGGAACAGACTGTGTGTAGTATTTTCAGCCTGTAGGTGCAAGGGCTTGCAGCAGGCACTTGAAAGCAGTGACTGAGGAGCCAGAAGCTGGTATGAAGTACGCAGGAGTCTGAGTGTAGAATGTTTCTTGGAGCAGCTGTACCTCAACAGAAATTCTGTAGGGGTAGTTCAAGGCAGGAAAAAGTTGACTACTCAGGGCTTGGGGATCCTGCAAAGCACAGAACTTTCACAGTAGCTACCCTGAAGCCATAAAACTAGCAATACATTTTCTCGAGGAGAAGGGATATGGCTCTGTAAACAAACCTCCTGTTTTTTCTATCATATACTTATCCTAAATATAAGAGATAATGTTCTGATTCACTGTTTCTGCTTTCAGCATGGAAAAACTGCACTAGCTGTGGCATCAAGGAGCAATCATGCCCTCATTGTAGATATGATCATTAAAGCAGAAAGGTATTATGCCATGAAACAGGTAAGAAACACTCTTCATTACACTGAGGAAAACACTAAGGGAGTACAGCCGATTCTGATCCTGAAGCACCTTTTGCCTGAGGTGGTTCCTTTTGGCAAGCTGCAAGACTGGCCTTGATAAATTGGTTTATGTGGGTTCCATGTCATGATTTTGACACAACACAGTTTAAAACCCCTAAGATTTCTCAGGTACACCTTTTGTTTGGAAGCAGGTCCTGGTGAGGCAGTATAAGACATCTCTTGTAGCATCCACCCTAAAACCTGCAAGAAAGAAGATGCTGACACAATTTATCTATGTCAAGCAAGTAAATCTGTGAGCGCCAGAGCTAGCAAACCAGGGCAAAAGGACTAGCGAAAGGAATGCACTCGACTGTCAGCTCCTGTGCTTCATTGCTGAGCTGCCACACAAATATCTAACTTCATTATCACTCCTGCTTACTGTCAGGGAGTGTTTGTTGTACCAGGTTAGCCAAGTGCCTCCCACACTTAGGTGGTATAAGCATATGGATCCTGCCCAAGTGCCAGCACATGAATTAGCCATTTTTACCACCCCACTTCATCCCTATGTGCCCAAATCCGTGATACTTCGTTTTACAGGGCATTGTGCTGGTAAACCACCCATCTAGATTAACTATAATGAAAACCACCTCCATGAACTCTCTGTGTTGTGCATATTAGATTTGCACCAGTTCAGCTGGAGTTGTCAGGTACATGATTGTTTCTTTTGGCTTAAAAGGGGAATTAGAAGTAATCTCTTGTCAAAGAAGACATGACAAGTCTGACAGCAGTGAGCCCTTAATGCTCCTAACTCTTAGCATTGTTTACTGAATTGCCTGAGGAGAAGATGTCCAAGCAGATGGTCTTCCTCAAGAGCTCCACAGGTGTTGGGAATAGAAACAAAAGTGTTTGTATCCCATTACTACGAGCACAGCCTTTGGCAGCTGCTTAGATCTTACAGGTATGGAATATAATGTTGCTCAGGTGGCTTTACCATATAAGAAACTAGAGTGTTTTGAACCATTATTTTGAGAACTTTTTGTTACACTGAGCTGACTTACCATCTGTGACAAGGCATTAGTTACAAAAGGAAATGTCACGTTGCTGTGAGGAAGTGCACATGACACTAATGTGTGGGAGTGCCTTGTTCTTTCCATTTGCCCTTTTTTCTATTTGTTTGCCTGTAGGGTTTTTGTTGGTTTTGTTTTTCTAAACCTCAGAGGTTTTCTATACCCCCTCTGAACCAGGGAGAGCCTGAAGCTGCCTGGTAGAATGCCCTGACCCTCACCTTGCATGCAATAAAGTCTGCACTAGAAAAGTGGAATCAAACATACATGAAAAAGCTTAGTTACTGAACTAAGATTATTTTTTTCTTGCAAGACTCTCATAAGGTTAGTAAACAACGCTGTTGTATTTTTCTAAATTTTATCTGGAATGGAGTATTTTATGCTTAGCATTTTAAAATGTGGCATGCTGCCATTTCCTTTTTTGCTTAGTAGCTGCTCTGTAATCCCATACCAACTTCCTGAAGACATTTTTCACTTTGGAGAATGATTTGAAACAAGACTAGCATGTAAACAAAAAGAAATACAAAAGTAGTTTAGGCTTACCTACACTAGGAAACAGGCTTTCCACTGGGCACTGCTCAGCTAAGGCTAAAATCACTGCTACATTCTAAATGTTGCTTTCGCAGAGGTGCCCAAACAAGAAGCAATACCTTCACTCCTGTATCATGCATACGGTAGCAACACCACTTTTCATTTGGAGGGTGCTTGTGGTTTTGTTTTCTATCTAATTTTGCTTACACTGGCAATAAAACTAGATCCAGGTTCAAACTACATGTGCTTACCAGTGCTTGGACACTTTGCTGAATGGGGCTCCATGCACAAAACCCAATGGCTTCATGCTGGCACCAAATGACCTGGTTGTCTCCACTTCAGGCGAGCTGAGCTGATGGGCAGAGGCAGAACAGCCTGAGCAGCACCATGCTGATGGTGCCTAGCCTCTTCTCAGGTAGAAGTCAATACTTCTAGAAGCAAGAAAAAAGAGTAAGAGCTGTGCTTGAAACCCAACCATGTTCAAAACATGGCATACAAAGTAGACAGAGCCAATGATCACAGCAGTACTGGCATGGGACTTGCTGCTACTTGCTATTGTGTAACAAGTGCCAGAGAAAGGAAGTGGTTTATTTTGAATTTAACTTAATATGACATAGGAACAGACACAGGTGGGATTCATTTCCGTTATACTACTTCGACTGTAATAACATCATCCACGCTGACACATCTTCCAAAAAGCTCAACTAGCCAAACACAGCTCCTTTACCTGCACTGAACAATCACTTGTCAGGAGCTACATGTGGCTGTAGAGGACATAATGTTCACTGCTCTCTAAGTGAAGTTCCCAGCTTCATTACAACATTTATCATCTGCTTTCTTCTTCAGGAACATCTAGTTCACAGTGATGATGGGCCAGACTTCAGCTTGTCCTTCAAACAAGATCACAGTACACAGACCAAGCATATCCGTTCTTCCCTTTGGAATCTAGCATATAACCAGTTAAAACCCCAGGAATGGAAAAAACTGGCCCTGCTCTGGAAGTTCACGGGTGAACAAATTAGAGCTATTGAAGAACAATGGACAGGTAACAATATCTGAATGGCTAGACATAATAGGTAAGCTATAAAAACCACAAGGCAGAGCGGCTTTTTAAACTACATGAGTGTCAGATTCACAATGGCCATACTGCTCTTATTCAAATAATGAAAAAGGGCAGTGAGTGGGTACAAGCTTTGTCCCTGGTTCGAGTGGCGGTGATGTAGAAGTACAGGCCACTTCTGTTCTCCCTTTTTGCCTGAAGGAATCTTCATCTTTAGAAATCAGAAACAGTGAGTGGCATGGAAGGGTCTTGCAGGTCATGCTGCAAGTGAGGAACTGGGAAACCTCGTGACAAGAAGACCTTGTTCATGCCCTGTCTTGACAGCTGCCATAAACCAGCATTTTTTGGTTTCAGGCCCCTCAAGTGCTGGGAAAGCCATACTTCTAGAGTATGCATTGTACTTGCTTACTACTACTCCACAATATACTTCCACACATTGAGGAAAAATGAAAGGAAAAAATCGTATTAAGGTGTATTAGCTTTTCTCTCCCTTTACTGTAGCCTTAGAATAAAACTATAATTTGTTTGTCTGCTTTTACAACTTTTTAAGCCTCAGTCATCATTTTGCTTCTGGGCAAGAAAGGGAATAGTTAAATGAGTAGGTTTTAAAACCTCTTGGAACTCTAGAAGTACAAAAGCACAAAATATCCTGTTCCCAGCACATGGAACAGACAAATGCTTTGTGTATTGCATAGGGAAAAAAAGTTACAAGGAACATGGAAATAGAATGTTGCTCATCTGGTTACATGGTATGCTGCTGGCCCGTCAGAATCCTGTTAAGCACATATACGAGGATCTGGTGGAAGCAGGATTTCAGCCTTTAGCTGGTAAGTTGTTAGAGACCACCTTACACTGTCCTCTGCCAGGCTGCAGTGCAGTGCAGAGGTGCCTGCTGCTGCTGCCGGGAAGGTGTAACTGTGGCCGAGCTGGAAGACAGCCTTCCTTTCTGGGACTATGCTCTTCCTGGGGGTGGCATGGGGGTGGGTGACATTCCTTGAGAAAGAGCATTTAAGCAAGACTTGTGATTTCTAAAGGAAGACAAAGAAACAGACAAAGAAACTTTGCTTCCCTCCTTTGTCCTGCAAGTGAATGTGATTGGCTAGCCCTTAGTTAAGTTAGTCTGACCTTGTGAAATATAGAGCATGTCAAGCAAGTGACTTCTCCTCTTACTTTACAGAGAACATCAGAGGTGCAAGTAGCACTGGCATGGACTCGAGAAAATGTGCTATTTCATGAGTTCATTAGTAAAACACGGCATATCTGATGGATTTACATACCAGACGGAAGGGGACTTCCAAATACAAACAGTATCTTTTCTGGAAACAAAAACCTATTTTGAAGTTGTATGACTTTTTCCAACCTAGAAGAACTTGTAGTCCTGAAATACTGGTTAGTTCTCTTATAAGCTTGCTATACAATGATTTAAAGAATTAAGAGTGAATGGCTATTAGTATACTGGTAAGCAAGAACCACACTCCTCTGTTCCCCCCCGCCAAGGTTCTGCACCTGGCCTAACATTGATACGCTAATTCTGTACTGGAACTGCAAATTAAGATATTTTGTTTGACATGAAATGTAAATGAGATGTTTTCTACCTGAATAAAATTAATAGGTGAAAATTATGTGTATAAATCAACACTTCCAGAAATAGGCTGGCACCTGGCCTCATTTGGGATTCAGGTTTACGTAAGGGCTTGCTAGGATTATAGTGTTCCTGTGAGAAGAGGGCTTTTCTCTTGTTTAAACAGAGCTACGATTAGGACAAGTCTTCCTCCTTCAGCATTTGATTTATGTAGTGAAAATACACAAAAATATCATATTTAAAACCATGTGAGGATGGCCTATCATGGCATAACCTTGAATACATACTCAAAAAAGAATATTTTATATTTAATAGTTAATACATCTAGAAATTATTTACCTATTTCTTGGCCATATCTTGAATTAAGACTTGGTAGTGTCTGGCTGAACATGTTTAAAGGTTTCCTCTTTACTGAATATATTTCATATCTAAAAAATTATATAGCATGTCTCTCTTTGTAGTCTTCGCTAACAAAACAGCAACAGTTTTATCACGTAATGGAAGAATTTAATTGCCTTGTCTGTGTGTATATAGCTAGCAATATATTGTACTGAATCTTACTGTTTGTACTAAAAAGATCATGATTTGTGTCTTAGTCTGAAATGTTATGCCTAACTGCCCTCTTGTGCGCAGCCTGTTTTGATGTGGCTGCAGAGCACCACAGGAATATGAAGCACAGACTAGTATTAGAGATACCAGATCACAAATTCTTGGATCCTGACAGGTATGCACCAAGTTCTGACACATTAGCTTGGAAAATGAGAATGTTTATATCAGTCTGATGGACTCGGTACCTCACCTGGCCTAAGCTGCACCCTGGATATGAAGTATACCACCTTCGTTTAAGTATGCTGTTGTAGGATATAATTAAAATGCACATCAACTACACTTGTTTGCACTGGCAACTGAAAAAAAGCATATGTAACAAAAATAAATTTAATTTTCACTTCAAAATATATGTTAGTAACATTGGAACTGAACAAAGTGATTCAGACAAAAAAATGCATTCATCCTTTATTTAAAAGTGTGCAAAAGATACCTTAAATAGAAACTGTTTATCTTAATAAAATAAGTTCTCAAATAGTTTGGAGGTAGAACAACATTTCAAGTTCTTTTTATCCCCTCCAGATGTTTACTATAAAAGCACTTTTCATTTAGAAAAGGATAAAAACATGATGCATATTTTAGGCCTTGATACATCAAATCTGTAAAGACTGGAAAGAGGTTTAAATTGTACCTTGATAAAAACCCCCACCAGTGAGAAAGTTACTCAGTCAACAACTTTTATTGACTGAACACTGGCATGAGTTTGGCCCTGAAGCATTCGCCCAACTTGTCCTGCAGGTATCACAGTGGTTGAGCCAGAAGAATGGAGCACAGTTCGAGGATATTTAGCAGCAGTGGCTTGAGATATGGTTTGCTGAAAAGTAATACATCAAAACATTTAACAGTACAAAGAATTCCACCTTATAATAGCTCTAAGTGAGCTGTAGTTCAAACAGAAAGATTCACAACCCAGCAAACTGAAATACACTTAATGAGTAATCTTTTTCTTCCTCATCTGTAATATACTTTTTAGAATACAAAATGCTAATAAAATGCTAAACATTCAGTTAACTAAGTCCCTGAGCTTTTATCACTTCAATCTTTTTTCAGAGTTGATTGTTTTTTTTACCAAATTGTTCAGAATTTTCCTCTGTAGTGCTAATTTAATTATGCCAACTTTCCTTTTGAAGTCCAGTATTTGCTATGAGGAAGTCCCTGAAAGGTCTCTGGTCTCTGAAAGGAAAAGGTTTCCATTTATTTAACAATTAATTTTCTCCCTTCAAAAAGCTAATACCTTACTGCAATAAACAGCAGTAATTCTCCTTTCAATCAAGGTAAACTCTCTCCCATTGTCAAAATAATTCAAGAGAAATACTTCAATCTGATTGACCTCCACTTAGGCATTTCTGTGCAGAAAAGAGCATATGGAATATCTCTTTGGGACTGTCATATTTGTTATATTTTTAGAAGTCAGTTTTTGGTACAGCAGTTCAGGTACTTCACTCGTCACACTAGTCACACAGTTTGAATTTGGAAATTGTTCCTAGTGAAAGAATTCTCACACCAAACCCCTAACCCCTAAGGGCGTAGAATTTAAATATGAATTTCTGCTTAGGAGCCCAACTTCTTGAAAACTATGTGCAGCCTGTTGCAGGGCCCTGATTCACTAAAGGAAATGAGCGAAAATAGAATATTCCTCCCACAGTTACCAGTGACTCCAGCTCAAATTAAGGGACCTGATGTAAATCTGCTTCTTCTGGCAGTATCACTGACAAGAAACTGGACTTTCAGATAACACACAGAAAACTAAGATCCTACTTTACAGGTTAAAATATATAAAAACCAGTCACCTGTTTCATACACCTCCAGTTGAAAACATTTTCTGCTTAGACTGGTCTAAAAGTGTAGTGATTGGCAGGCCATACAAGCCACTGTTTACAATCTTCCTGTATGCTGATCTTGTATCCTATTAATGCACTTATTTCAGTGTTTTCTTCAGGATAAACAGGCATAGTAGTACTCAAACCACAACAAACAGCAGGCTTGATGAATCTGATTGCCTCTGGACAACAGGTTTACTTCCCCCTCCCCCAGTACACTTAGCCTGATCTATAGTCTGTCAGACTAATCTATATCTCTGCCACTTCTAGTTCAGTCACTCTTCCTGCCATACACCACAAAGCTTGACTTTAAACTGTGGCCGCATGGTGATGACACCAAAAACTGCTGTACCAACTGACCACTTCTACAAAGAGGAAGACTCATGGAAGAGCTGGGCAAGAAAGAGACAGCCAATGCTGCTGCTGTGAAATAATTATATAGAAACAAAACAAATACATTAAAATGGCAATATTGACTTCCTCTATTCACCTGTGCCTTCTACCCAGACCAAAGATAGTACTGTTTGTTATTCTGAACAGGCCTCCAGTTTAAGCTTTGTCTACTACCACTTTACAATGGTTGTTTTTCTTTACTACCAGATGTGAGGTATTAAGAATGCTGTTACAAGCATAATTCTGACTTACCTGAGTGACTGGGTGATGTTTTTCAATAATGACTGAACTAATGGGCGGAGCAACTCCCATCACTGCTAAACTACCACAGATTCTGGCTTTTTGTCCCATATCAGCTCGACCCGTGATTCGAGCAGTGATTGTTCTTCCTGCTTTCTGTTGAGCAGATGTTATTACTTTTGCCATGGGCTAGAAATAAATGAAGTATCGGTTGGTAAAAATCTAAACATATTTGCGATGCTCTAATATGTCTGCTTAGTTTTTTTCAGTTACATGCCTAAACAGAACATAAGAAGAAGTTGCAAGTAATTTAGTTATGTTATACAGGACTGAATTTCCTCCACCTAGTCACAACCTGGTCTATTCCATCTTTTTCCACCTTAAGTATGAGATAGCATCTGTCCTGAGGGAAGTAAGGCTAATTTGATAAAATTCAAACAGTATGGATAGTTTAGGTTTGCTCACTGGCTGCATACTCAAATGACAGCTGCAGGCACTTCCATCATCCTGGACGGACTTTCTAGCAGTGACACAGCAGACACAAAAAAGCTTCCAAGCAGTAAAATGCTGCATCTTTCTCTGACAGCGTGTAGCAAAGCGTATCAGATGGGAAAAAGAAAGGAGGGCAATGCAGAAGACAATGGAGAAAATAAAAAAGACAGTTCAGCAACAAATATGGAACAGGGAACAAGAGAGATATTCCAAAGAGGATGATACTAAAGCAAAGCATACTCTTTCTGCAACAAAACGGTTTCAAGCGAAGCACTAATTGTTCTTGTTGTGCTATATGTAAGTGTGCATTCACCCCTCCGCTCCCCACTGCAAAAATCATTTAGAATTGCTCCTAACATAAACAGGTTTCTGTAACATTAATGAACTTTTGCAAGGTAGTGTCTTCACACAGCTATGTAAACCCAACTACATATGCAGTTTTCTCAACTACATACTTGTATTGCTCTGAAAAATATGGAATGATACCCAAACTAGTATCTGCTACAATTATGCCTTAGAAACCAAAAAGTTAATTTTATCACGTTACCAGTTTTTGGGTTGATGCCACACCAGACCCTGCAGCTGTGCTAGTGATGATTACTGGAGAATCAGAATCCAGCCTTGTTTGAGAAGTGCTTGCATGACCCAGGTGGGCAGAAAACTGTGAATGAAACCAGAGTTTACAAAGAATAAGTACAACTTTCTACAAAATATAATTTCACTCTTTAGACGGTCAGTTTTTGACTATTTCAATTACTCTTCTCAATCTAACTTTGCAGATATTTTCTCTAGTTCACTGTTTTTTGGTTAATTTAAAAATACTTGTCTGAAAAATGTGGAAACAGTGTGAATAACATTTGATACTATTAGAAAGAAAAATCAGGAAAGAGGCAAGCGCATCTTCTCTGCTCTAACCTGTATTCTAGCTTGAAATTGTTTTATGGTGGCAGTATCTTCAGAATGACTCCAGGGCAGGTCCAAAATATCCAAGCTACTGGGTAATGATCTTGTTAAGCTGACATGACAGGACAATAAGCTGAGTTTTCTAAGTGCCTTTTATATGTTACACTTAAAATGAAGCTTCAAGTCAGCCAGTTTTTCTTCTTTTCAGGTTATTATATTAAGCTCTTTTTTTTTTTTTGAAGGAAAACAACCCACAACACAAAACACCAAAAAACCCCAACCAAAACTCTTTAATGTTTTTTTCCAAGGAAGAACTTTAAAGAGCAAATTCTACTTATCATAGTGATCTTGTCTTCTTTAGTTTCATATATTTTCAATAAAATAAAAAGCAGAGCTTAATGAAAGTATAGCAAACAACAGCAGC